GAACTGAATTTGCTTTGTCTCTTGGAGTTCCTTGGGCTAGGCCTGACATCAATCTTCCCAGACTCTTCCAGCGAGCTAAGAAAACGTTTTTCTCCCTGAGCCTGGCCTTCATAATTCCATTCCATCACAGATATATAGATTCATCCTTAATTAATAAGCCAAAATAAGGGGGACATGTGGATGTACTCTCAAATCCTACTGTGACTTCAATCTGTTTTTTGTTTGTTTTTAAACTTTATACTGCTTGGGTTATGACAGAATAAGGTATAAGAAGAGAGGCACAGGAAAGAGCATAGAGTTGCACACAGAATCTTGCAGTTATCTCCCACCCCATTCCTGCTATGGCACTTTAACGGATAGGGATTTTTCCCACTGGCTAATAACATTCAGAAGGAGAACAGCAAAGGCAGTGGAATCTACCCATTGCTTTGTTTAATCTGGCCCTTGTACTTCAGATGTTCAGGCTGGTGGCAGTGAGGAAAAACAAGATCAGCTTGGAACACTTTCTGAGGATATGAAGAAGTGGTAGTGGTGTTGAAGGAACTACAAACTAGCAATGTTTAATATTAATTGAAAATTAACACATGTGACCAATGTTGCTGAAGTTTAAGATAGATGAGATTTTAGAGGCAAATCTTAAGAATGTGGCATAATTAGACCCTGTAATTAAGTGTTTCTAGTCTGGAGCCTTCTAGATGCTTGCTAGAATTCTGGGTGTTGCAGTCCAAACATCTATGAAGGGTAGCAGGCTGGGAAGACTGTTGTAATGGTTTAGAACTGGAGTATAAATACTTTCTTATAATTGCAAACACAACTTTATATGTTAATTTGTCATTATTTTATAGATTGATGAAAACAACAAAGGATTGAAGGATGTAGAACATAATGAAGAACATGATTATTCAAGAGGACTTAATGATTCCTTAGAGATTTCTAATGGAACCTGGCATTTTCTGAAGATTAAACATGCTACACACTTCAGTAGTGGAACATATACATGTATCTTAACGGCACCCGTCAGAAAATACAACCAAAGTACAGTTACACTCAGAGTAATAGGTATGGTACACTTGTTTGCCAATTTCTTTTCTTTTTTCTTGCAGTTGAAACTTTCAAAGAACTTTAATGTGAAGATTGGTTTTTTGCCTTGCAGGCTGTCCTGAGGAATGGCAAGATATGAAACTCAAAAAATACTCAACAGAACTTATGTTGCTGTGTTCTATTGGGAGCTTCTATTTGTTACTCATCATCTTTACTTGTGTAAGTGTTTTCCACTTGTTTCTACCATAAGATTCTATCTACTGCCTTTTTCAAGTGTTCTCTTCCTTCCTGTATAATGAGAAAGTGCAGATATATTGGCAAACTTCACCATCTCCTCTTTGTTATCTTCCTTCGTTCCCATCCTTCCATGAATTGGAGGATTAATTTCTGAAGGAGGTTTCTAGTATGATTGTGAAGTCTGACTATGTTGTTTCGTGAAGAAATATTGGTTGTAAGCAAGACATACACAAATACAGGCCACTGGAAGTTCATTGACCAAGATGCTAAGCCTCTATGCGGGGCAAGGGGAGAGAGATCATTGCAGATAATGGCCTGTTTTATATGGAACTGAAATGGTCAAGCTAACCACAGACAGGGCGAAAAATACTGTATCTCCAAAGAAGCAGATTACCTGCATAAACAGTGAAGTGAAGCTGAGATTCCTGATACACTAACAATGTCAATAACACTGAAAAATTCACAGGACAAACTTATCTTTGGGAATACTTGAGAGAAGAAAGAACATACATTGGGTTATGAAATACATTGAGTTATGGGAACAGCATCTGCCTAGTGACAGCTGCCAATAACAAAGCTATTCTGGTGATGAAATTAAAAAAAACAAAAAACTGGAAAGCTTTTATGGGTTCCTTGTATTATCAAATTCCAATCCCCTGGAAATTGCTGTCATGGAGCAAACCTAGTTCCTGAGTGCTGGTGCTGCCTTACTATGGAATATCACATAGAAGAAAAAGGAGAAAGACAGCTGAGGCTTCAGATTTCCAGATTTCCAGTTACAACCTGCTGCTTGTTACAGTGGCTGCTTACATACATGAAGAGATGCATCACCAAGAGAGAGAGAGAGAGAGAGAGAGAGAGATGCACGCATGCAAAAAAAAATGTATATGTATATATGCTAATGTATATGTGCTAATGCATATAGGTGCTAATTTAGAAATACTTAATATAATCAGGGGCATGGTAACCAGGAAACCCAAGTATCTGCATAGTGTGGTGTCCATGTGCTCAGTGTTGATGGGCAGCTTCCTGTCCTGTCTTGTTCTTGATCTTTCACTAGAGGTGGAGTATATAGCCCTTTAAATTAGGCACTCTGGACCTTTTTCAGACTGAGAGCTGTACTGGGCCTCTGAATGACATGCCAGGGACCACACTCAGGAGATCGAAAAGGCCAGAACAAATACTAAACTTAAGGTTTATATTTAAATATAATTAAATTGGTTAAGGACAATTAAAATTATTCCCAATGTATTTAATACTTTTCTTATTCTGGCACATTAACAATGACAATTTGGTGGCAGCTGTTGGAGGGATTCTGAGACTGCACCCAGTGTTTTTGAGAGGCCACCACAGTCCTATGCACCCTGTTGATGAAGGACTGTACACTGAAACCACATCAAATAGAAAACTGTCCCCAATGAAGTAGGAAACATAGCAACCACCTTACTGCTAATTTATTATGTATTACCAGGGATGGGTTAGAACTTTCTGCATGTCTGAAATAAACCCACATTAAGGTTAATGTAAAGAAATATAAAACACAATACATACAATATACATGATTGCTTGCTTGTTTTCTTGCCTTCGAATCCATATTGTGTCCTGGTGACTGCCTGGACTAGTCTCTGCAGTCTTCTTCGGCAAGATTTTCAGAAATGGGTTACCATTTCTTTCTTCCTAGGGTTGAGAGAAAGTGACTGGCCCAAAGTTACCCAGTTGGCTCTCATGCCTAGGCAGGACTACAACTCACACTCTCCCAGTTTCTAGCCTGGTGCCTTAACCACACACCAAACTGGCTCTCATATGTAATTTCTGCCTTTGCCTTATTATCACATTCATTGACATAAATCAAACATTATCTACTGAGGGGATAATTTATCTTAGCTAAAACCTGCTTCTTATTGATCTTGTAAGAAGTAGTTACATGTTTGTATTTTGATATCATCAATCTTTAGTTTTAATTTGTGCCATTCAGCTTAAGATTTGGCTTGATAAATGTTGAAGGAAATTGCTTAACTGAAAACAGGAAAAACAGAAAAATAATATTTTTCTGCTCACTTGTCTGAAAATAGTTGAAATCACTTCTATAGGACCTCTTTGTTTCTCCAGGTTTAAAAAAGCTAAATTTTATTTGATGTAGAAATTTTATGGGATTTTTAAACTGAAAAAAGCTGAGACTTATACTAGAAATGACAATTTCAAAGAAAAATGGTATATGGTAGATTTCTTCTATGTTAATAAAGCTTTACCTACACAAAATTAACTTACATTAGGTTGATTTCCAACTGCTTAAATCTCAAAACAGAACTTTAAAGCTTTTATTTTATCCAGTTATTATCTTCATTGCCTGCAGACTTTTTGTTAAATTTAATAACATAGTCTAAGCAACATTTGGATCCAATAGGATATCAATATTGCTTTAGAAATGAAGATAGGGACATTTAATCCAGGAACAGCATATTTTGAGTCACCTTTCAGATAACTAGAGAGGATTGTATACAGGCTTATAAAACCATAAACAATATGAAGGAAGAACAGGAAAACCATTTTTTTGGGGGGGGGGTCTTCAGATTACTCCTTAAGAATAACTGGTAGTATAATCAGGCCATAGATGACAAGTCTCTTCACAACTCAAATTATTAACTTGTGGAATATAGTAAAACAAGATGTAGTGATGATCACTAGCTTAGAGAGCTTCCAGAAAAAGGTGACTTGCCCTACTAGTCAAAAGACTTCCTTCTTTCCCGTTTTTCCTTTGTAATATTTTTTTTTCAGTGAAATTAGGAAATGGGAGGTTTCTGAATTAGTAACTGCTTGAGATATATAAACTGGGCTAAACTTTTTACATCTTTGCTTCTGCATGGGCAAACATTTTTTTAAAAATAGAGTTTTACATAAGAGATTAAGGAACCTAATTATAAATGCTAATGGGTTATGACTGGGTTCTAGATTTATTTAAATTGATGTTTTCTTAAGAGCCTTAGACAGTTTGCTTCAAATATTGTTTTCTTTTCTTTCTTTTTTTTAGACATGCTTAAATGAGAGATCTTCTGACCATCATAGATCTGGAAAGGAGCACATAGGCAGACTCCACCTTTACACTACCTGTTGAAAGAATGGTTTCTACTACTCAATATTGAACAGCATTGGTAAAGACAATATTATCAACTAATCTGGTGGTGCTACAAGAAGCTCATCAATAGCACTATCTCATCAAATGGATATTATCATAATACTGTAGATGGAGGATATGATTGTATGATTGCCTTACTCAGTCTGGTACCCTTAGGTTGGGACTGCAACTCCCCATATTTCATGCCTGGTGAGTATTTTGTGAGTCATCAGATTAATCAGATGTAGTTTCAGATCTGTACAGGAATCCAAATGAACTCCCTCCCCACCAGTTAGTCAGTGACATTATTGGTAGCTTTCAACTGAATCAGGTTCTGGCTTCCTCCAGCTGTGATGGTAAAGCAAACAAGAATTATCACAGCAGGAAGAAGCTGAGATTCAGCAACTGCCCAGTGACTGAATTCTTATCAACTAGGATCTCAATTGACTTCCTGTATGGATTTGAAATCATGTCTGATAAGGTCCTTTGTATTGTATCACCTACTTGGTAGAGGTAGGAAAAAATTCAGGGAACATTAGTTCTCGTTTAACCACAACTCATTCAGTGACTGTTTGAAGTTACGATGGCGCCGAATGAGAAGACTTATGAGGAGACAGTACCAGTCCTGTACTTGTGGCTGTTGGAGCATTCCCACAGTCACGTGATCAAAATTTGGGCGCTTGGCAACTGGCTAACAATTATGACAGTTGCAGTGTCCTGCGGTCATGTGATTTCCATTTGTAACCTTCACTGCTGGCTGACAAGCAAAGTCAATGGGGAAGCCAGCAGGAGGTTGCAAATAACGATCATGTGATGTTGCACCTAATAACTGCATGGGTTTTGCTTAACAACAGCAACTGGAACTGCTGCAATTGCTCTTGTAAGTTGGCACATTCATGGGATGTTGCACTTTATGATGTGTCACTTAGCGACGGAGTTGCTGGTTCCAATTACTGTCGTTAAGTGAGGACTACCTTTATTTCATTTCCTATAAGCTGAATATACATAATTTTCTTAGTGTTACGAAGAGTGTCATCTTGTTTGGTGTTTTTCTTTTTAATTTCCAAAAGTATGCTATAGCATTATTTGGACCTTTAACTTAGCAAAAAATAACTGATTGAACCAGCAGTTTCCATAACCAAACATTACAGGAACTGCAATATATAGTTTCAAACTGTAATGCTTCTTTCATGGGCTGGAGAACAGGAGGAAACATTTCTGAAGTGTTTGATGCATGTGTATGCTATGGCAAACTGTTTATTTGGGGCTGCCAAGTCAACCTGCCACCTACTGAATCTGTGGTATTCACAGAAATGATTTCTTGTAAGAACTTTCTCTTAAGAAAAGAGGATTAAATACCTGCAACAGAATTTATATTCATGAAAAAAAGAGACATGAATGCAAAAGAAATCTCTTTCAAGTGGCAATCCTATATTTGTTTACTCAAAAGTAAGTCTTATAGAATTCAATAGAGCTTATAGGATTGTAACCTTAAAGAGATTTCTTTAGCATTTGTGTCTTTTTTTTTCCTACACATGCATTCCTGATATAACAAAATATTATTATTATTATTATGGAAGACAAGAATTATTATTTTTGCAAAAAGAGATTCTATTGTTAGCTGTAATCTAGGAACAGCAGAGTCAGTAACAAGAAAGAAAATGAAAAAAAAAAGAATAAAGCTCTGAAAAAAAGTTTAAATATCCTAGTTAAACATTTCATTGTGGTCAAAAATCCTCCTGTATACTGTACATTTTTTACAATACTGGTAAAACATTTAAAACTACAATATTTCCATGATACAATAGTACTTATAACTTGCAGGATTTAACTGAGAGTGTTATTAACCTCAGAATTAGGTGACTAACCAATAGTAGGTGTCACTGAGATAATCATACTGCTTGCCTATTTTGCTACAATTGTAAATACGATTAATAGGAAAAAAGTCACTTGATTTATCTTTTACCTGTTGCAATGAACTGAGACCCACAGCACCAGTTCGAATCTGACACTGTAGGTTATTAAACAGACTGAGGCAATCAGGAAGTCAAACTATGAAACCATAATTAATAAATAAGTAAATAACAACTGAGCTAGTGGCAATGGCATACAAGGCATTCAAATAATTACTTGGCATTCAGTAGTTACAATTAGCAGTTTCCAGGCTAACACAATGATCTCAAGCAGTTAAAGGACTAAAGAGAAATCTGAACAGTTAATGCTTTATGGAGAATTCAAATACAATCAGTTCTGGTGAGAAACATGGAGGAGTGAGCTAGAATGAGGATTTTTATCAACCAAATAGGTCAAGAGGTTTAAAATTGTTAATAATCTACTGGTTAACAAAGAGAGCTTCAGCAGTTAACAACTTAAAGATTAACACAGATCTCAACTAGTTAGCAGTTTAAAAGTTGACTAAAGATCTTGGGCTATGATGGTCAAGGCCTTAGACTGGCCGAAAGGAAAGAAGGAAGGTGGTGGATAAAGCAAGCTTACAAGAAGAAAGGGGGAAGGAGTTTTGCAGAAGGGGAACTTGTGAGGCAAACTTATGAAGAAAAAGATATTGAGAGAAGTTACTTAGTTTCTGCATCAGAAAATAAATGAAAAGAAGTTTGATCTTTGTTTGATGGCTTGTGGGTATTGGAAACTGGCTTCAATTTCTTTTGGATAAAGAGAAGAGAGGAGAAAGAGAAAGTTGCTCAACTGTGCATAAGTTCCTCTGAATAAAAACAAAAGAGAAAGAAAAAGAGTTGTTATGTTTTCCTCTAACTTGCTGGATGATTGAGGACATTTTAATACTTTTCCTAGAGATATCAAAATTGAATTCTCACTTTAGGCTTTGGGAAATCATCAATAAGGTATCAGACAGAAGAAATCTTCCTTTTCCTTCTCCTTCCTAGGGAGAACGAAGAAGAGTTTCTTTAGCATAACGATCCGGGATAGACGATATATTATCAGATTATCTTTAAACAAAAAATGTAGTGAAGTGATTAGATTTAGCAGTGATGTGACAAATTAGAACAGTGAAATTACAGATTAGTTAATGTTTCAGGATTTGCAGTAGTTTGTTTCTTCCACATTCAACATTGAGGGTTTCTCCCTGTGCTAACCTTTTCATCTCTTTTGACTTAATTAAGAAAGTTCAAATCAGCATGAATCTTACTTGCTGACTATTTCTATAACTCTCGCCTTTAAGCAATATCTGGAATTTTTTAAGTGTTAATCAGAAAATGGAAAGCATTAGGAGAGTGGGGGGTTGGGAGAATACTTGGAAATGTTCACGTATGGTATTCAAAGTGAGTTTTAAGAATGAAGATGCTTCTCCTGTACTGATGCTAAGCTGGGATGGAACCCCTCAAAAAATCAGGCAATACTGTGTTTAGTGTTTTTGGTTCCCAAAAATAAATTAACTTCAGTTGTTGTATTGGATTCAGTTCATGCTGGATTAGTGTATGCAACTACCTCTCAATTGAAGAAATTATGAATTATATATTAGTTAAACAAGAGCCAGTTTGGTGTAGTGGTTAAAGCACCAGGCTAGAAACCAGGAGACTGTGAGTTCTAGTCCTGCCTTAGGCACAAAAGCTGGGTGATCTTGGGCCAGTCACTCTCTCTCAGCCCTAGGAAGGAGGCTATGGCAAACTACTTCCGAAATCTTGCCACGTAAACTGCAAGGACACATCCAGGCAGTCTCCAGGAGTTGACACTGACTTGAAAGCATCCCCCAAAAAGTTAATTAATATATTGGAAGATGACAAATTCAGATGTAATGAAAACTGTATCACATAATCATGAAGCTCCCAGGTAGTCATGAGCCAACTATTCTCTCTCAGGGTGACTCCTCTAGATTCACCCAACAAGTAACAGTAATGAGGACAGGTTTTATATTGCCGCAACCATTGCAGGGTAATGCTAGACTATTTTATAAGGGGGAAATGGACTTAGTCCCATCCATCTTACAAGGTGGTTGACTGACTGATTACGTGCCATTAGGTTGGTGTTGACTCTTAGTGACCACATGGATAAATTTTCTCTAGGCGTATCTGTATCCAACCTGGTTTTTCAGATCTTCCATTGGTGTACCCATTGCTGCTGTAATTGAATATATCCACCTTGCTGTTGGTCATCTTCTTTCTTTCCTTCCACCTTTCCCAGCATTATAGACTTCTCAAGAGAACTAGGTCATTTATAATGAGTCCAAAGTATGACAAATTGAGCCTGGCCATTTGTTCCTCGAGTGAGACCTCTGAGTTGAGTTCAAAAGCATCAATACGCTTTCTATCCCGATTCTTCAAAGTCCAATTTTAACTTCCATGGGACATCAAAGGGAAAACCATATCCTGCACAATTCTGATCTTTGTAGGTATCTGAATATTTTTTCTAAGGCCTTCATTGATACTCTACCAAGTGCTAGTCTGCGGACTATTTCTTGGCTACTGGTTCTTTAAATATTGATAGTTGATCATAGAAGGCAGAAACTGTCCACCACTTCAGTATCTTCATTGTCAGTTCTAAGGCCAGTTGCTGCATCTGTAATCATTAGTTTGGTCTTTATATTTAATTTTAACCCCATTTTTTTTTCATTGTGCTCCTTGACTTTCATTAATACAGCTTGCAGATCCTTTGTATTTACAACTATCAGAGCAGTCTCATCTGCATAGCACAGATTATTGATGATTCTTCCTCCCATTTTAAATCCACACTAATTTTTTTCCAGTCCAGCTTCCCTCACTATATATTCTGCATATGGGCTGATTTGTTTATGAATGAACGAATACTTATTCCATAAGTAATTATAGTGGGGGAAATCCCCACTTCTCGAATGTATTTCTATTGCTAACTCAAGCCACATCTTCATGGCAGCAGCTTCTGTATAAAAATCACAATTAATGAGTTTCATGCTTCAAACATGCATTCTGTGTGTGAAAAGAGGAAAAAGTCTTCTTAAATAATCCTCCCTCCCTTCCAATTTTAAACATAGTCAAAGATTGCTTAAATTGAACTCCAATTTTCCCATCCTAGTACTTTTCAGATGTGCTTGATTTCAAATCTCAGTAGGGCCAAGGTTGCTGAGCCGAGCTACAGCCTAACCTCTCTCTATCGTTCATCTGTTTGGGGAAGGCTGTTTCAATCTTATACCCACTTACTTGACAATATCCTCTGTTGGAAGCAGAGGGAAGTATCTTTGAGTGGGAATGCAAAGAGTTATGTCGTAAACATGGCCATACTGTAGTAAAGCTTTCCCGGGGTGATGATTTGATGAGGCACCATTCATCATCTAGGAGAGCCTTCAGCACTGGTTAGTTGCTTGACAAACGTGAAAGAGGCAAAATAAACAGCAGAAGGTGAAAAGAGTGATTTTATTTTTCAGATACGTAAACAGGAAATTTCTGAACAAAAAACAATATTGCAATTC